GCAGTTGCTTTAAGAAATGTGATCAAATTTAAATAATCATTAGGTACAAATACTTGTGTCACTTTTATTTAATCCCATCACAAGTTAACAGTTTTGCTCGTGCTGGTGCCATCTGACTTCCCTTATCCTGCTCTGCATTAATCATACCCACATGCTCAAACAAACACACACAAACACACACTCATACACATACACATACACCCACACACCCCCCCCCCCCACACACACACACACGTTCAAGCGTCCATCCCCATCTAATCCTCTGGTTTTCCTCTGCTTTACAATCTGAGCTGCCCTGTTTTCATTGTAGTCACGGGCTGTGAGTCATCGCTCGTCTGAGCCAAGCTATTTGCGCTGGTTCACACTGGCTGACACACCTAGGCGCAGGAAACACACCCATTCCCACATATCCTTGAATTCAACAAGAGTGACCTGCCACAAAACCGTGATAGTTAGAGGGGATTTGGTTGGTAAAAAACTAGCCCTGGATGTGCAAAACATTCAGGACATAACCCTAAAGTTAAGTTTTGTTTCAATTGCACAATCCACATTTTTATTGTCTCGTAGCTCTTCTCCCACTGTAATTTGGAATTCATCCAGTTGAATAAATAAGTAGCAGGGACTTTAACCTGAATTCACCTCCCTAGCATATGCAATAGCTCTTGAGCACCAGTAAAAGTCCACAAACATGGTCACTCTTTGTAGTAAAAGCTTAGTCTAGCAGTGGGAGTGTTTACTGTGGGGTTGTTATGTGACCATAAACATTCAAAACCTTCATGCAAGTTGTTGAACAGCACACAGCTGGGAAGACATCCCCCTGTTTAAGTGTACACACATCGTAGGAGTTGTCTGAGTGGAAGCAGCTATTTGCTTGAAGCTGGAACTGTTCTTCAAAGGCAACAACAGCCACACCTCAGTGGCTCTGAAGTGAAACCTTAGTGAAGCCGAGCAAACAGGTGTGAGAGCAGAGCACTATATGGGATGATGCATAGGGAAAGGGTTGTTAATGTGGAATAGAATCCAGACAGAGTGTGTCTCGCCCTGAAGGGATTCATCCGCAATAAAAACCAACTCATATTATATATATAACAAGGCTACTTACCTAAGAAATAAAAAAATCAAAATATTGATTTTGAAATAATTTTACTGATTGAATTTTTTTTTATTTCTTCCACTAAACAAATTAGAATCAACAGTAAGAGCTGTCCTAAATGCGGCTTATTCTGTAGCAGCATTAAGGACAACATGTTAATAATAAAAATTACCTCTGCAGGCAATACCATGATGTAATACATGATGTCCACCTACGCTTCACAAAGTATGTCGTTCAAAACTGTCTAAGCTCTACAGTTATGTTTTGTGGCAGGAACATTTTTCTGTTCTTCAACGTTGTTTTTTCAGAACACTGCTACTGAGCTAGAGTAAATAATTCCACACTTCATGCAGAGTTCTTTAGGGTTTCTGCTTATCCTACACATGGTTAGTGTTACTCCTTCACTTTTATCTCAGCATGCATACAACTTGAGATGAATACACACATGAACAATGAGTCTCCCTTCTGTGGACGAGCTGCACCCTGTGTGTTTTTTTTTTTTTTTGAGAGAACACTAAATCAGAGCTCTCTTGACTCATGGTGGTTTAATGTGGTACATTAAAGTATGTGTCTGCGCATGTTCCAGTGTGTGCACCACTCCCTGTTGATCCCCTTCAAAGCCATGCAGTTACTTCCTCTATGTGTGTTCGACTTTTTCCATGTTTGCTATCTCACCTGACAGAGCATTTGTGTGACTATAGTGATGCGAATATAAGGGGTTTTTCGGGGACAGCAAACACTGCTGTGAGAGCTGAAGAAGCACATTTGTTTACACAGACATAAAGGCTACATCCACATACTACATGACAGCTCATATTAAAAAAATATGATGTGACATACTTGCTTCCAGTGAGAGACTTTCACTCCAGGGGTTACGTAGAAAAGAACATTTGAAATTTGGTGTTATTCAAAAATTGTCCCCCCATATTAAAGGACCAAAATGTAACTCTGAAACCCACTCCTCCCAAGAGTCGATGAGCTATGTCGCATATACGGAAGCTTCAGTGTTTAGCCAGCTCTGCATCAGCCTTAAAACCTTTCTACGTTCTAACCCCTCTCCATTTTTATAAAGCATCTTCAATATTTATTCTAGTTTTACCACTTTTTTGGTCATGGAGCTCATTAGAAAAATGCAGAGGATTTTTAGGCTGGGGAGAATCAGTTATTTCTGAACCACTTCGCTTGACCGCTTTCATCTGCAACACCTGAGCCACTGTCTACTTCTCTGGTCAAAACAAAGACAAACCATTGCGCACTGGAAATGAAACTTAGAAGGAGGACATACTGGCGGCTGTGTTGTTGACAGAGAAGCCAGCGCTTCAACATAGCATAGCTGATGATATAGTGAGGTAATTTCATGATTTAATATCGTAAATATCTTACATATTGAAGCTTGAAGTTAGCTGTTACCAAAATATTTGTTCCAAACAAGCCTCTTCCATCCAGGGCTAAAAAGAGAAATGTGTTGAAAAATGCTGTTGCTCCAATGCCTCCTCCGGCTGGCTTCAAAAATGAGCCGATCTCCTTTAGGGCAAATGTTTATGTGCAAAAAGAAATAGTTTTAACTGTAGTTTTACAAATAATATGAATGACACTTGTAAGGTTAAAATCATAGATTATTAATGGCCTTGTTGCTTTAAGTGACAGGTGAAGGAGGCTGGCTGCTAGTTGTCACCTTAAATCACTGAATTACATCTCAGCCGTGTTTGTGCCTTAAGGAGATGTTGTCTAGTTAGCTATGATTGTCAAGCTGTCAGCCTTTTTGTCTCATAAACCAACCACTCAAGTCACCTGCCGCCTCAAATGCAACAATACTCTCTGAGGCACACTGTTGTTGTTTATCTCATAAGTAAGCTAATGGATAAGCCTTAGCATACCAAGTGCATGCTAACCTCCCTTAGCTATGTCAAAATGAGTTAGTGAGCGAGCAGAGAAATTGAAATGTTTAAAATGATTGTTTTAAATAGATAGGTTATGGTTAAGGCATCAATAATTGAGCTATTAAAACTAACGCAATGGGTAAACAGTTAACATTGTCATTTATAATTACAGTTGATAGATGGTTACATACACAGAAGTAGGGTATACATATGTAAAGCCAAATGAATAAAAATGGCTTGAAGATGTAGATAAAAAGAAAACGAGCTAGCTAGCTAACAGGGGATAACCCAATACACAGCTAAAAGACATAAATGAATGGTTAGACCAAAATACATACATATATATATATATAGCTAAAAGCAAAAGTTTAACTGATGTGAGCCAGTTTGCTTCAAATACGAAGCAAAAAGAGACTGTATGGATGCATTGATGCCAAAGTTAGCTAAAATATTTGAATCTACAGCTAAAAGTTAACATCAAATGTTTGAAAAATGGATTACAAATATGAAGAAATGGTTATAATATAGCCGTATAATATATATAATTGGATCATGTGGTGTAAATCTGACAGGGCTGTGTAGGTATATCTATAAAAAAGGGCTGGGAATCACACCTTTAAAGTATTTAAAAGTTGCAGAACTAATGTTGTATTAAATATAAGCCTGTAGCAGTTGTAATTTGCTAAACTAATATCATCTTTAATCCCAGGCTAGAAGGCACCGCCCAATATGTCTCTGTCCCAACAGCTCCTTCCCTCATTTCTCCGCCACACAAAAGAGATGCACGCATTCAATTTATATCAACTTTTACGTGAAATTCCTTGCATTGTTTTGACATTGTGGAAAAAAAGTAGACAAATTGTAAAGTATGGATATACATTTTGTTAAAACGACACAGTAACATTCAATGTAATAGAATATTGGAGGTGAGTAAGGCGAGCCCTGTTTACTTTGGCTGGCCCTGCTTTTGAGCTTGTAGAGACAAAGCCTGCGTCTGTGTGCCAACGGAAATGTGCAGAGCTGGAGGAAAACTGGAACATCATTCAGTACATCATGGATCTCTAATGTATTCTTAAAATTCTTGTAATAACAGCAGACTATAAAAGGAACAGTACCAACAACATAGGAGTTTCGTCCAAGAATAAAACCTTCCTGTGACATTCTATTGCAAAATTAAACAGAGAAAAAAAAGAGTTTGACGGACAATTACAACAGTTATTTTTGTTTTGAAATGGATGAAAATATTAACAAAAACATAAATTATAAAATATCAATTCACTCAGAACAGCATGAAATTTAAATAGCTGATTAAAATACAAAACTGAGGGAGAATTATTAAACGCATAACATGCTCTCATTACAGTGAACAGAGACTTGGTTCAGGGTGGGCTTTGTTAAAATAAAACAAAGCAAAAAAGAATCTGAACTCATAAACACACACACACACAATGACTTGTGTGTGTAAGTAAAGGCCTCACTCTTGAGTCATTTTGTAAATGATAACTCTTTGTCAGATTGTGTACAGTAGTTTAACTTCTGTAATAACATGTTTATGTCATCGTCTATCACATGATACTCATTTTGTGGTGTGTTTAAACTCTGTTCTTCAGTCTTGTGCTTAAGTATATTGAAAAGTAGTGGAAAAGTCTTTGTTTCTCTGTCACTGACTGTAGCTTACTTTGACAGGATAACTACTTTGGTTCAAACTCCCTGAGTGAATGTAAAACTAACGTGATAAGTGTAGGTACAGAGACAATGAATTCAGTGGTTGTATTGTGAACTAACCTGAACTAACTTTTGCTGTTGCATTGTATTGGAGCCCTCTATGAGAGGCAGTGGGTGGTCACAAGTCTGAGGAGAACCACTCCCTCGCACCGGTCCCCTCCCAAGCATTCCCCTCCCTCTGCAAACCAGGAGCCCTACCCAGTTCCCTGTCCAGGCACTCTGCTCAGCCCAGAGTAGCAGCTGCACAGAAAAAAAAGAGTTTAAATCAACTCGGTGAAGAAGAAGAAGAGGGAGGGAGGGAGAGAGAGAGAGAGAGAGAGAGAGAGAGAGGGGCAGAAAACGCCCTGGAAACTTTGTTGATCAAATAAGAAAATAGTGACAGAATCCTCACAGACTGCGAAGTTGTGACTGGAAGCAGTGCTCTTTCTTGGGCTGTGTAGAAGGACAGAGGACACGTTTTCAAGGATGCTCAAGCTGGTGTGAGGCTTCTCGGGGCGCACAGACTGCGCACAGGTAAATAGGCACTTTTTTTTTCCATTCTTTGTTTGAAGTTAACACTTTTTGTGAACTTCTTTGGCTTTAAACTTAATAGTGCTGAAATGAACAAAGCAAATCAATTACAACAATATTGTGAAAGTTCCAACAAATGAGTTTGAAAGTGTCAATCTTATCTGCACGGCTATCTGTGATATTGTGCTGAGCTTGAGTATCAGCAGGAAGATTGCAGTGACTTTGTCCTACTTTATTGCATGTGTTTTTCTCTGGCAGCATCATAAGGTTTTCCTAGAGGGAAGTTTTGAAAAGGAAGTTTCTGATGAGGAGAAAATTTGTTTCATGTCTTGAGTGCGTTTATGTAAAGAGTTGGCAGTAATTGTGTGTGAATACCATCCTCTGTTATACATGCTGATTTGAAATAACTCAGGATATGAGAAGTGGGTGTGTTCTCACAGCTACCACATGAATTAGGACTTGACTGGAGTTGCGCACTTTCTTTTTTCTTCAAGTGCACACAAAGGTTTTTAATCCAGGATGTATATGAGAGCAAGAAATACAATATATTTTAATATGATGTTAAAAAGTAACAGATAGCAATAAAAAAGACTTGTGCGGTGATTGGACTATTGTGCAACGTGGATGTCCTCTACAGTCAAACCCTAGTCTTTGGGATGGCAGATTTGTGGAATATGAATAGAGGAGGCAGCAGAGAGTTTCAAAAGTAATGTTGTTTGTGTTAATGTTATCCTCCAGGTGTTGTTTTATCTTTCAAATACCTTTTGACATATAATAAGTAAAGTTAGAGACTTCCCCATGAGAGGCTGCAACTAGCTTGGGTGTGGATTACTCTCTTTCACCTCCCTCCACCCCTCCCTTTTTTTTTCTCCCTCCCTGCTTGCTTTGCTGTCTCTTCACAGAGGCACACCCTTCACAGCCAAAAAAAAAAAAAAAGAGGAAAAAACCCATACATGCTGCAGACGGTTGACGCAGTGGGTCATTAGAAACATATACAAAGTTCCTTCATGTGATATTAAGGGGTTCTAGAGATATTAAAGCACTCATCAGAGCTTTTATTCTACTTATTCAATGTTTTTAAAGTGTCATAACTGAGGCATATGGGACCATGGAAATCTTTGCTGCTTAATGTTGTCTACTGTTGAGGAATACTGTGAACTTTTTCCGAAGGTCTTTGATATGATATGAACACGTTTTTTTTTCACGTGTACCCTCTGTCCAACCATATTTACATTAGATAAAAGTAAACTTCTGCTTGTTCTAAGGCATTTCGCCTTTTCATTTCTTTAAATTAGACAGCGTTAGATTTGTCTTTTTTGTACCTTGGGTCTCTTAACCTGGGCAGAAAGCCATAGTGTGCAGTGGAGGAGAGAGTAAGGGGGGAGTGAGGGAGGAAGATGGTGAAGAAAGTCAGGGAGTGAGTAAGTGAAGGGGGATGGGTGGGGCGGGGGCAAGGAGGGGAGTAATGGAATGTAGTGGTTTGGAAAGACAAGCTAATTGAAACCAGGTTTGGGGCTTAGAGGGGGGAGCTAAGACTTCGCACATTTAGAGAAAGAGAGAAACACTTTTTAATCTGCTGCAAAAAGTTGAGATAGTTGTCTTTTGTACGTATGAACTCATTTCGAGCAATCACTGCATATTCTAAGTTCGAACGAAACCAAATAATTACGTGTTGTTCTGCCTGGGTTTGGCGTTTGTTTAAGCTGAGCAAAATGTTGAAGGAAACGCAGACCAGACATAATACTTTGTTGATCCCAGTTGAAAGTCATATTTCTGTGTGTGCCGTTGCCTGTCCTCCATTGCTCCCTCGAGCCACACCCAAAAATCATCTCAGTGGGTGTTACGGAGAGCTGATTTTCACTTCCTCAACATAGTTTTTCATAGAAGTTACACTTAAGTTTTTGTCAAGCACCCAGCAGCTGCAAATGACTGACATTTTTTAAATCACTCTAGTGATGGTGATTGTGAAACAAACATTTTGCAGTGCCAGATGGTGACACACGGCTAAAAGGGGTTTGGGTAGGAGGTTGTCATTTGGGCTATTTCATATTAAGCATTTTTAGCATTTGAAATATTCATCTTGTACTCAGGGATGTTATGCCAAAAAAGACTTCACTACCAGCAAGAATATGAACTTACTCATAATCAAATATAGTTAATATGAATCGTACATTTAGAGTGCTGAAACGTTCATAACTGGTTTCTGACTGCTAAAACGTTTGTTGGTTCATGTGCCCTCATCTTTGCCTGGGGCGGATTTTGTTTGCCTAAATTCCTGCACTGTCAACCAACGCACTAATACAGAGGCTACATTATGCTGTAACCTTAAATAATGTAGGACTCCTGGTATTTCCAAAACCACAATGTACATTTTTGAACCAGCTTCAGTGATCAAATCTTGCTCAGTCATGGCAGCTAACACCGGCTGCTGTCACTCCAGATCATTTTGTTGCATTTGCCATCAATGTGCCAAACAGCATATTTTACTAGCTTGAAGAAAAGGATGTGTATTGTGTCGGTTCGGGGTCCTAGCTTGACAGTGTTAAGATATTTATCACAGGACTGTGGCAGTACTAATATATAGTCACGCCCTGATGACTGGCAGCACAGACAGGAGGAATGGTGTTCAGCCACTGTTAAACGGAAAGAAACAGGGCTCTCGCACACTTCCTCTGCCATTTCCTCACGGGTTTGTTGAGTGGGTGGTTGGAAGGAAGGACAGCGTGGGGAGGTGAAAAATAGGGAGGTGAGTTAGCTGAACGTAGTAAGGGTGTTGCAATCATGCTGTAGTTCATTTTTTTCACACTTGGCATTTAATTTGAGGCAATGCTCTTACTCATCTTTAAATCCCCATTTAGAGATTAGTTAAAAAAAAAAAAAAAAAAAGCCACTCCCTTTTCATCCATCCAGCGCTGGTTTGGAAGGTTTCAGCATGTCCTTAGTGTGCACTGGGAAGCACCTATCATCAGCAATGTTCCCCTTGTAGTTGAGAAATAGTCAACTGAGAATGATGACAGTAATCACAAGTGCACATAATTCCCCTATAAGTCACACCCATGCACATGCATGGAAACCAGTCTTGTTTATGCAGCTTAAATAAAAATAAAGAAAAAAAAATTACATAAGTGCTAGTTTACGGCACAGCCTTACTGCCCCCACTTATTGTCTGACCTACTCCCCCACTCCTGCTGAAATGCTGTTATGTTGCCCTGCGCAGGAATGACACGCAGCATCTGTCAAAAAAACTCTATTTGGAAAGATGGGGCCAAAATGTCAAGGCAGCAGGGGCCTGGAATGTAAATTCAGAAATACATTAAGCTTTGTCTGGGCGTTTTTTTTTCTGGCACAAGATACACAAGGACGGCACTGATCAATATCCAACGCTCTCTTGCGCTAAACAACTTTGCACTAATCAGGAGAGCTCTACATGCGACTTATGAATATACATCCTAATGCTGTGCTTATGCTTTATGTAAAGGTGAAATTGTGTCAATTAATACATTTAGCTGCTATTGCTGCCATCCATCTCTACTCTTAACCTTCTCGTTTCCTGCTCCTTGAATGAACACTCATATTCAAATAGCTGTGGATGATTGAAACAAAAATCGGAGTAAATTACAAATTGAGTATGCTTTAGCTTGGCAGTAAAATGACGTGACCTATAAAAAGTTGCTTTGAATGTTTACTAATTGCATGACACCTGTCTGTGTAAACGTGCCTCTCCTTTGTCTCTGTACTGTAACTAGTTATGCCAGTTTAAAATTTGCATCTTAAGTTATTCTGCAACCAATTATTTTTAGGCGGTCAATTGCTCAATGTACTTGGCACTGAGACTACCTGTCAGCATCACAAAAGGATCACTTGTTGTTTCAAAACTCCAGACAAAATGTTTTGCCCCATTTGTGCAAAAAATGAACGAATCCTTTCTTTTTTTAGTCCCGTATAATGGTGCACATCGGTTTGAGATGCAGCCTGAAAAGAAGTCATACATTTCTTTCCTGAAAACCGTTGCACATATTGAAGAAACCTCATGAGTGAGCATTCAAGTGAGATCCTCCCATCTCAGATGTCTCAGGGTGTAGTTGAGAACAATAAGTAATGATAGGAGTCATGAGTTTACTTGCACTGTAAAGCCTTATACAGAGAAGAACCTTTCTTTTGCAGTCCTTATGTGAACATGAGGCTTTCTGATTTCAAAGAAAGTCATAGCCAAAGTTTTCTCTTGAAGCAACCCCTGGGCTTGTTTGTGATCTTGTACAGTGAATTTTTCCATTTAGCACAAAACTCCTGCCAAAGTCACAATAGTCAGCAACAGGCCAAGTGGGCGTCATGGGCAGGCTCTGGTCTTGTGCAGAACTTATGGTGTGGTTTAAGGCTATGTGGACTATGGAGTACAGAAAAGAACCATTTATTTTGACTCACATTCCTTTCATATGCGTCACACATGCATGTTTTATCTGCGTTTTTGAGGGTAGAGTGAACCTACACTTGGGCCTGCTATGTCTCCTTCTGTATTTGTTGTACTTGCTACAATGATGATAGAGGAACAGCGAGTACTTTCTGTTATGACAACAAGACTGATTTGGTCACTGCTCGTCGTATCTCTTTTCCCTTTCTTCACTGAGGCCTTTTTATTTGTTTGTAATCAAATCTTATCACTCAACGGCAGCGCTGTGCCTGATTCACTTTAAATTGAAATAATCATTGACACACTGCTCTCTGTTTTTTGCTCACAAAATTGATTCGATTTGGCAATCAGCCTGGTTGATTGACTAGAGCCTCTTTGATCAAATTCCAGAGTGCTGTGACCTAGTTAAAGGTAGACTATGACAGTTTTTAACAGTCTTGGTATGTTCCCTCAAGGCAGATGAGACACTTGAGGTGAGAAGGAAAATGATAGCAGTGAGAAGTAGATTTATGCTTTTTGGATCTACCTGGAAAATAGGTGAAGTCAACACAGAAATGATGATGACAATAAAGGTGAAATGTGATGCTGCGTTGCTTCTCAGCTTACATTTTGAGAGTTTTATTAGGGTGTCATTAAACGTGCATATTTGACTGAACGTGGTGTTCTTGTTTATTTGAGCAGAACCTGGAGGATTGGGGGAGTGGTAATGTAACTGCGGGGGGGGGGGGGGGGGGGGGGGGCAGGGTGCAGGGTGGGCAGCACAGAGTCAGAGAGAAAGAGGACATTGCTTTGGAGTTAGTCACTGCGGGGAGAGGCTGGGCTCCCTTCCAGCTGGCCTGACGGCTCTATCAAGGAATGTGTGAGACTGGCCTGGGTGGGGCCGTGCACTGAACTGCTCCCTCTGCAAGCCCTGCACAGAGACACAGAGAACTGATCTGCCTCGGGACTGTGGCGTGGTATTTCTCCTCTTTAACACAGCAATGTGTTTTTATTTTTCTTGTCGCACTCTTGGTGACCACACTTGACCTCGATCTGCATGCCTGTGTGTGTATGCGTGTGTGTGTGTGTGTGTGTGTGTGTGTGTGTGTGTGTGTCTGTGTGTGTGTGTGTTTATGAGTATGGTCTCACCAAGGTACTGAGAACAAAAGGTGGCACAACCTGTGTCTTATCTTTTGAGTTTGTGTTCTCAGATAAGCACATTGCGAAGAGTTCTACATGCATGAGACTCTTGTTTAAACATCATATATCTGGAGATTACATAACACCCCTTTCATCAATACATCTCTCAATAAGTCAGAAGCGCCTCTTTCACAGTCAAATAACCAGCCTACCAGTAAGTGATCAAGGCAAATCTTATCTCCCTTAACTTTAGATCCATACTTGAACCACCAAAAATACATTTCATTCCTACAGTCACCTCTTCACCTGATTATCTACCAATATGGCCGTCTGATTAATACGTCTCTGTAACAAGAGTATGGGCCAGATAGTGTACACAGCTGCTGTAGCGTCTCCCAAACACAAACAAAAAGACAACCATGTATTGGCTGGCATTTATCTCAGCTATGTCCCATCTATTCTTGTATACGACCAATTCAAAAAAAGGACATCAAAACAGTTTACACTAAGGCAAAACATTTTAAGCTTTGCACCAGAGTGGCTGGTTTTATGGAACATGTGTACTAACTCTTCTCCAACTGTTTAGGGTCTTACAAACACAGTTATTGGGCATAATTTTCAACAAGGTAATGAACAGGGCCGACTGGGGAGGGGGAGGTTAATGATGGGGTTGGAGAGCCTGTCTCAGAAGAATTTTTCAGAGGGACATGTTCCCACCGGCAGATGCCTGTCTGTACACACATCAAGTCTGGTTCTGTTTGTACTGGGACTGACAAAGAGAAAGCTTTGTTTCACAATGTGCCTGTGGGTTGAAGCAATAATCCTAGTGAGTCCTGTAAGATGTTGGGCTTGCCAAAATGGGTAAAAGTAAGATTGACTCAGAATGCAGAACAACAAAAATAATGTACACAGTTGCATCAGTGTTTTAATACTGAAGTTACTTCTGTGGCTGCTCATTTCTGCTCAAACACTGCAATGGTTTTATCATTTTCACCTTGGCAGAGCAGCCTTGTCTCACAGTCCGCAGCCGAGAAATGAAACTAAGCTGAGGGATTTAAAAGCATGTTTCCAAATACATGTCCTTTAACAATTCCCTTTATTCCATCAAACTGAACTGGAAACTGGAGAGATACACAGTGTTCATTTTAGCTCCAGAAGTAAATACAACACAAAATATGTGGTAGGATTTATTCAATTAAAGGGAGTATTATTACTTGCAGGGTAAATACTGCTACTATTTGTGGGTTAATTTTTAATGGCATACGCAAAACCTGACTATTACCTCGGCAAATATGGCGGTGTTCCATGTTGGGACACACCTCTAAAGCAACAGTGAGTTGTATGTGAGGAATAGATTCTGTTATCCATCTAGCCTGTGACTGAAACATGAATAGTTATTGCTTAAGAGAGATGTACAGAGAATTTCAGGATTTTTTTGGGGGGAGGGGGGCTTCTTATGATGAAGAGGAATAACTTTTCGACGACAGCAACACATTATTGCCTTAAAAGCAATTCTTAAACGTATTGTCTAAATCAATGTCTTGTTTTTTGCTCTTCTTTCAACAGAAGTCAAAAATAAAAGAACCACAGCATCAGACTGAAGCCCTTGGCTTTGCTTGAGCAATCCGAGGTAAGTTTCCTTAAATCTACTGCCAGAAATAAACAACATATTTGTAACTGGTTAAGTTTTCTTACCCATCCCACCACTCCAAGACCATCTAGGCAATGTCACCTTAGAACAGAGTTCTGCTATGTGGCTGGATGCCAAACCTCCTTTGGAATGATTGTTGCAAAGCCTCCTTCGAACCTGGAAGGTCATGCCACTGCCATTCAGCTGTGAAAGGCCTGCCTTGTAGAAACCTGACACTAGGCTGCTTCTGCTCCCAGTGCCTCCTCTTTGCACCTCTCTTTCCTCCCCCCAGACACCACCTGTTCTGCTAGAACCCCCTTTCCCCTTCTTATGAAACAAACAACCCTGTCAAAAAATTCTACCAAGTTCATGCTGCTTTAACTGTTTGTTGTCGGCAACTGTGCACAATTTATTTCGAAGGAGTGGAGGGAAAGCTAGTAAAGAAAAAGAGCAACAGAAAACCTGAAGCATGTGCAGGCGGATGACTAGACATAAGAGAGGCACATTCTAGATATTCAATTCAACTCAATTCAAAAAACTTTATTTGTCCCCAGGGACAAATAAAGTTTTTTGAATTGAATTGAATTGAATTGAATTGAATTGAATTGAATTGAATATCTAGAAATGCTCTGTGGTTGCATTTTAGTTAACGGAAGCTTTTTTCTGGCTGGTCGTCCCCACACCTCCCCGTGCTCAGCACACATACCCGGCTGTTCTTAAACATAAAAGATAAACAAGATCAACCACCTCTCTCTGTCTCCATGATTCCCTTTAGCGCTTTTGTAGAAAAATAATTTGGTCTGTGCTCCCAATAGGCTTTCGGTGTGAACACTGGCTGCCTGTTGGAAGATCTCACGATCTCAACAGAGACATATATAGCATCCGTTCACAAATCAATTCATTTCTAATCATGAAATCTTTATTTTGAAAGTATGTTTTTCTCTCGCTCAGCTTGTAAAGAGGGCGAGTCTCATATTTGAGACTGAGTTTTGTAAAGAGTTAAGAAAGAGAGTAAAGTCTGTAAATATTTAGGATGCCCACTGCAGTGTCAATTTGTCAGCTGTCTGGTTTTCAGCAATAGCATCATATTTCCATTGCAACTTGTCTTTTTTCTTTTCCCCTTTACAGTCAACTAGTCGTCTCACATTCCACAGAATCCCAGCAACAATTATTCTACACTTTCTCTTTTGCTATCTTTATTTATTTTAGCATTTCTTTACCACCCCCCCCCCCCCCTTGAAGGTCCTTCCTTCACTTCTTAAAATATAGCAGTTGAAATTTTCAATTTTGAAGGTGACTGTGTTTCAGAAGAAATGTAGGGATCAAGTAATGAATAAGAAAACTGTTTTCTCTCATCTGCTCCAGGGGAATTTTTGTGAACACATGGATATTGCCCTTGCTTCCCTCTGAGACTGACCAAATCCAGGCAACTATAATAAGTGCCTTGTTTGAGAGTGAATATAAGTCATAGTCACAGCCCCCACTCTCAAATGCAGCATAGTTCTATGCTGTCCCTGCAATATGAGGGAACCTAGATCATGTGAAAAATATGTGCTATTTCGGTCTGTTTCCGGATGCGTAAAATGAGCCATAATAAAACTCATTGGGAAAGCAACAATTCATTTTAGTTTTGTTCATGTCCAGCTGTGCTTCGATCAGAGTGGAGACACTGTTACTGGTAGTCAGTTGACCTTAAAATATTGTCTTTGGCACTGCAAGCAGTCTTGCTTGGCCTCTTCGTCTCACACAACCATTTCAGTTAGGTTTGATACATGTAAGGTTGCAGACTTGGGGTCTTGATAGAGTTGCATAACTAGCCTCAATCAAGGCACACTGAAAAGACAATGAGAGCGAGATTAGGTGGTTTGTGTCATCTGTATACAAGTTATTGACTGCTTTTATTGTCTGTTACCTGTATTATTGTTATTATTATTATTATTATTATTAATAATGATAATAATAATGATAATAATAATAATAATAACAAACACTATATCTTTGGTATTATCACTCTCATCTGACCTGATCTTTGTTATTTAGTTATATGTTTAGTTATATGTTATATGTATATTAGAGGGAAGGCTTTATATAACGCATACACGTCGATTATTGACTTATGTTAACTGGTGTATTGCATGTTGTATGCTCATGGACAAGGTCCGGCAAACTAGGAAGACCAGTTTGGACATCTTTTGGGATGTGTTTTTGTTTTCATGGAAAAAGACGGCTCAGCTTTATCTATCATTATTTTCTATATTGACACTGGAACTAGGGTGTCGATGCAGGAACAGTTCTGCTTTCCTCAGGGCAGGGTGTGGTTTGCCTCCAAGAAAATGTCCAAAACACAGCATCCAGTAGGGAGGTAGTTGATAGTTTATGTTTGAGATAGGGTCTGGGCTGTGTTTTATAAAAGGTTTGTCACACCATCTAGTGTTCAGTATAGTGACCTACAAACCTCCCTCATTACTTACAGAGTAAGGTTGGAAAATGTTAAATTCAGACAAGTACAGAATGTTGTAAAGACAGTTTTGAAAACTGATGCATTATTTGTCATGATTTTCACTAAAATAATGTTTCTTCTTTCAGCAGGAAAACCAAGATTGAGTTTCCATCACACACTAGTTTAAATCGAGGGGAAGAAAATAAAGGTATCTTGCTATTTTAAGTCACAATCAATTCCCTGCTCTTTATTTGATCTTCTTTAGCAACATGGAAATACATATACTCTCACCTTTTCAACACTGCCTACAACCACTAACTCCTATCCTACCCCCTTACATTACTTCTTCATTGTACTGTCCTAATTGTTTTTGTTTTGTTTTTGTTGTTATTCCCTGTTAAAGCATCTTTGAGTATCTAGAAAAGTGGTATATAAGACTAATTAATTATTATGCTTATTATTATTATTATTATTATTATTATTATATACTGAGTATAAAACTTACCAGATCAGTGTGTTTTTTTATTTACTCATTAATTATATGACTATGATCACAGATGGCTGAAGAGGAGGAAACCAGGGAGGTGCTCTTTCCAGACTGGGAGGGTCCTGACAAAACTGGCTTGACTATTGAACAGACAAGTGAAGGAGAGATTTTTGTCAAGGAGGTCAAAGGAGAGTCACCGGCAGCACGGTCTGGAAAAGTATATGAAGGTAGCAAATCCATTTTTCTCTCACATTATTATATATGAAGCAATGATAGTCACACTGAATTAATCCTTGATATTTGAATAAAAAAGGATCTTTGCTGCTGTCCCTTTAATATATAGGTGACCAGATTGTAGGCGCCACTGTCTACTTTGATAACATGAGCTCAGAAGAAACAGCTGAGCTACTGAAGACATTGAATCGCCACAAAGTTGGACTGAAACTGCAAAACAGAGACAAATCACCTTGCTGCTCACCTTTGAGCACACCATGCCGTTCACCAATGGGCACGCTGACATGGGAAGGGAAGACCCACTTTGGAGGTTCCAGTCCAGACATTATTCTTGTAAGTCATTATTTCCTGTAATTATAAAATCAATATTATCTCAAGACATTTCACAACAAACAGGTAAAATACCTTACTCTTTGTTATGTTATGTTAGTCCATCATGAGCACAGCACTTAGCAACATTTAATTTAATCAATGATTAATTAATCAAAAAAGACATGCAAATCCCTTACAGGCCTCTACATCCAACAACAAACAGGTATAAAGAAGCAAAAAGATCTGCACACCAAAAGCTCCTGTTAAAGAATTCATTTAGCAACAAGTGACTCTTTCTTAGACTTACTTTTATACCTTATTTGTGGATTAGCCTTTAGACAAAATTCAGGATGCAATAATGTTTCTGTATTCATTCCTTTATTCTCTATCTACAGGGTGGAGATGATGAGGAATATAAGAGAATATATACAAAAAAAATCAAACCAAGGCTGAAGTCTGAAGATCTTGCAGAGGGAGTGGATGTTCGCACAGAACGTCACAGCAGCACAAGCAGTGATGGCAGCACAATTACCACCATCACCCGTCGCATTACTACCTACACTGTGGATATGCCTATTGGCATAGGTGACCAACTTGAACTTGCAGGCCCAAATCTCAAGGGGCAAAGGCACGAATCTGGTGATGGCTCCCCTCATATCAGAATTGCTCATGGCAGTCCTTCAGGTAAAGTGGAAACAGAAGGTGTTTTTGAGTCAAGTGATGTCTCTTACACTGGGCCAAAAGTTGGCTCAATAGAGACACGCTTGGGCAGTGGGGGAGTTCAGACCACAACAATTACAAGAGATGTAGATAGAGACAGAGGTACAGGACTCAGATTTAAAGGGCCTAACTTTGGAGTAACAGAGGGTAAAGGCCAGAAAGTCTTTGAGATCTCAGGAGGAAATGGAGAGAAAGGTGATGGAAGTATTCAGGTGTTAGAAAGTATGACACTAAGCAACAGCTCAAACACTGGTAGTAGGCAGGTTGTAATAGGCGGTAGGGGAGTTGCAGGGTCAGCTGATGAAAACGGAGGATCAGTTAGTCTGTCTTTGCCAGGACAAAGCATGCAGATTATGACTTCTCCTATGGAAATAACACAAGGAGAAGGTGTTGACAAAAGTTTAGGTGAAAGGACAAAAGTCAAGGTATCTGAAATTACTGTCAGTCACCCGCAATCAAAGAGATCAGATAGTACTAATATTCATAATGTCAAACTTGTTGGAGTTCCAAGAGGAATAGATACTGAATTAAGAGATGGCAAGATTGGAGCATCGGCAATAACAGAAGGCAATGTTACCTCAGGTTATTCCTCAGTCCCAGGCAAGATTCCAGTTGCAGGTGTGGATGCCACCCCTATGGGATTAAAGTTCAAAGGTGAACTTAATGCCAACCTGCCAAGCACAAGGCAGGTAATACAAGCATCTGGAATACACACTGAATTCCCAGGCCATGAAACTGATGACACTCTGAGAGGCAGAGAACAGTCAATGGTCAAATTACCTGACATTTCTGGGCCTAGTATCTCCATGTCAGATGTGGATTCAAATACACAAGGTCTTAAACTCAAAGGTGATGTGAATGTGTCAGCGCCAAAGATAAAAGGTCAAAAAGGGGAGAGTCCAAATATAGATATACACCTCCCAAAGGCAAATATTGATTTGAAAGCACCTCATGACATTAAAGGGCCAGAGGTTGATCTGAAAGGTCCAAAACTGGAAGGTGATTTAGGTGTGTCAGCTCCAAAGTTAAAGGGAGCAATAAACACACCTAAAATTGACATCCAAGGATCCAATGTTGATATTCAAGACACCAAGGGTGGATTTGGAATGCCGATAATCAAAATGGCAAAGGTTGAGGGTCCAGATGTTGGTATACACCTCCCTAAAGCAAATGCTAAGGTTGAAATTGAAGGACCAGATGCCAAACTGAAAGGAACCAAATTTAACATGCCAAACATTTCCGGACCAAAAATCTCAAGGCCAAATATGGACTTCAATCGGAAAGGTGACATTGATGTATCACTTTCAAAGATTGAAGGAGACATGAAAGCACCTGAACTTGACATCAAAGGACCTCAGGTTGATATTGAAGGTCCCAAAGATGGATTTGAGATGCCAAAAGTCAAAATGCCATCATTTGGCCTCAGTGGTCCAAAAGTGTCGTGTCCAGAGGTTGATATAAACCTTCCCAAAGCAGACATTGATGTGAAAGCACCCAATATTGACATCAAAGGGCCAGATTTTGACATTGAAGGATCAGATGCCAAAATAAAAGGACCCAAATTTAACCTGCCAAAAATTTCTGGAACGAAAATGTCCATGCCAGACGTGGACATCAATCTGAAAAGTCCCAAACTCAAAGGTGACGTGGATGTATCATGTCCAAAGATTGAAGGAGACATAGTAGCACCTGAAGTTGACATCAAAGGACCACAGGTTGATATTGAATGTCCCAAAGGTGGATTCGAGATGCCAAAATTCAAAATACCATCATTTGGCTTCAGTGGTCCAAAAGTGTCGTGTCCAGATGTTGATATAAACCTTCCCGAAGCAGACATTGATGTGAAAGCACCTGATATTGACATCAAAGGACCAAAACTCGACCTTGAAGGACCAGATGCCAAACTAAAAGGACACAAATTCAAAATGCCAACAATTTCTGGAACGAAAATGTCCATGCCAGACGTCGACTTGAACCTGAAAGGTCCCAAACTCAAAGGTGACGTGGATGTATCATGTCCAACGATTGAAGGAGACATAGAAGCACCTGATTTTGACATCAAAGGACCACAGGTTGATATTAAAGGTCCCAAAGGTGGATTCGAGATGCCAAAAATCAAAATGCCATCATTTGGCCTAAAAAGTTCAAAAGTGGATTGTCCAGATGTTGATATAGACCTTCCCAAAGCGGAAATTGATGTGAAAGCACCCGATCTTGACTTTAAAGGACCAAAACTTGACCTTGAAGGACCAGATGCCAAACTAAAAGGACACAAATTCAAAATGCCAACAATTTCTGGACCGAAAATCTCCATGCCAGACGTCGACTTGAATCTGAAAGGTCCCAAACTCAAAGGTGACGTGGATGTATCATGTCCAACGATTGAAGGAGACATAGAAGCACCTGATTTTGACATCAAAGGACCACAGGTTGATATTAAAGGTCGCAAAGGTGGATTCGAGATGCCAAAAATCAAAATGCCATCATTTGGCGTAAAAGGTTCAAAGGTAGATTGTCCAGATGTTGATATAAACCTTCCCAAAGCAGAAATTGATGTGAAAGCACCGATCTTGACATCAAAGGACCAAAACTTGACCTTGAAGGACCAGATGCCAAACTAAAAGGACACAAATTCAAAATGCCAACAATTTCTGGAACGAAAATGTCCATGCCAGATGTCGACTTGAATCTAAAAGGTCCCAAACTCAAAGGTGACGTGGATGTATCATGTCCAACGATTGAAGGAGACATAGAAGCACCTGATTTTGACATCAAAGGACCACAGGTTGATATTAAAGGTCGCAAAGGTGGATTCGAGATGCCAAAAATCAAAATGCCATCATTTGGCGTAAAAGGTTCAAAGGTAGATTGTCCAGATGTTGATATAAACCTTCCTAAAGCAGAAATTGATGTGAAAGCACCTGATCTTGACATCAAAGGACCAAAACTTGACCTTGAAGGACCAGATGCCAAACTAAAAGGACACAAATTCAAAATGCCAACAATTTCTGGAACGAAAATGTCCATGCCAGATGTCGACTTGAATCTAAAAGGTCCCAAACTCAAAGGTGACGTGGATGTATCATGTCCAACGATTGAAGGAGACATAGAAGCACCTGATTTTGACATCAAAGGACCACAGGTTGATATTAAAGGTCGCAAAGGTGGATTCGAGATGCCAAAAATCAAAATGCCATCATTTGGCCTCAAAGGTTCAAAAGTGGATTGTCCAGATGTTGATATAAACCTTCCCAAAGCAGAAATTGATGTGAAAGCACCCGATCTTGACATCAAAGGAACACAACTTGACCTTGAAGGACCAGATGCCAAACTAAAAGGACACAAATTCAAAATGCCAACAATTTCTGGAACGAAAATGTCCATGCCAGACGTCGACTTGAATCTGAAAGCTCCCAAACTCAAAGGTGACGTGGATGTATCATGTCCAACGATTGAAGGAGACATAGAAGCACCTGATTTTGACATCAAAGGACCACAGGTTGATATTAAAGGTCGCAAAGGTGGATTCGAGATGCCAAAAATCAAAATGCCATCATTTGGCCTCAAAGGTTCAAAAGTGGATTGTCCAGATGTTGATATAAACCTTCCCAAAGCAGACATTGATGTGAAAGCACCCAATATTGACATCAAAGGGCCAGATTTTGACATTGAAGGATCAGATGCCAAACTAAAAGGACACAAATTCAAAATGCCAAAGATTTCTGGTCCAAAAATATCTATGCCAGATATGGACCTCGATCTGAAAGGTCCAAACCTCAAAGGTGATTTAGATGTGTCAGCTCCAAAGATAGAGGGAGACATAAAAGCACCTGGTTTTGACATGGAAGCACCACAGCTTGATATTGAAGGACCCAAACCTGGATTTGAGATGCCAAAAATCAAAATGCCAAAATTTGGCTTCAAAGTTCCAAAAGTGGAGGGTCCAGATGTTGATATAGACCTTCCCAAAGCAGACATTGATGTGAAAGCACCCAATATTGACATTCAAGGGCCAGATTTTGACATTGCAGGACCAGATGCCAAAGTAAAAGGACCCAAATTCAAAATGCCAACAATTTCTGGACCGAAAATCTCCATGCCAGATGTGGACTTCAATCTGAAAGGTCCCAAACTCAAAGGTGACGTGGATGTATCATGTCCAAAAATTGAAGGAGACATAGAAGCACCTGAAGTTGACATCAAAGGACCAGAGCTTGATATTGAAGGTCCCAAAGGTGAATTTGAGATGCCAAAAATCAAAATGCCATCATTTGGCCTCAAAGTTTCAAAAGTGGAGGGTCCAGATGTTGATATAGACCTTCCCAAAGCAGACATTGATGTGAAAGCACCCAATATTGATATCAAAGGACCAAAACTTGACCTTGAAGGACCAGATGCCAAACTTAAAGGACACAAATTCAAAATGCCAACAATTTCTGGACCGAAAATCTCCATGCCAGATGTGGACTTCAATCTGAAAGGTCCCAAACTCAAAGGTGACGTGGATGTATCATGTCCAAAGATTGAAGGAGACATAGAAGCACCTGAAGTTGACATCAAAGGACCACAGGTTGATATTGAAGGTTCCAAAGGTGGATTCGAGATGCCAAAATTCAAAATGCCATCACTTGGCTTCAGTGGTCCAAAAGTGACGTGTCCAGATGTTGATGTAAACCTTCCAAAAGCAGACATTGATGTGAAAGCACCCAATATTGACATCAAAGGGCCAGATTTTGACATTGAAGGATCAGATGCCAAACTAAAAGGACACAGACTCAAAATGCCAAAAATTTCTGGACCGAAAATCTCTATGCCAGATATGGACTTCAATCTGAAAGGTCCCAAACTCAAAGGTGACGTGGATGTATCATGTCCAAAGATTGAAGGAGACATAGAAGCACCTGAAGTTGACATCAAAGGACCACAGGTTGATATTGAAGGTCCCAAAGGTGGATTCGAGATGCCAAAAATCAAAATGCCAAAATTTGGCCTCAAAGGTTCAAAAGTGGAGGGTCCAGATGTTGATATAGACCTTCCCAAAGCAGACATTGATGTGAAAGCACCCAATATTGATATCAAAGGACCAAAACTTGACCTTGAAGGACCAGATGCCAAACTAAAAGGACACAAATTCAAAATGCCAACAATTTCTGGACCGAAAATCTCCATGCCAGATGTGGACTTCAATCTGAAAGGTCCCAAACTCAAAGGTGACGTGGATGTATCATGTCCAAAGATTGAAGGAGACATAGAAGCACCTGAAGTTGACATCAAAGGACCACAGGTTGATATTGAAGGCTCCAAAGGTGGATTCGAGATGCCAAAAATCAAAATGCCAAAATTTGGCCTCAAAGGTTCAAAAGTGGAGGGTCCAGATGTTGATATAGACCTTCCCAAAGCAGACATTGATGTGAAAGCACCCAATATTGATATCAAAGGACCAAAACTTGACCTTGAAGGACCAGATGCCAAACTAAAAGGACACAAATTCAAAATGCCAACAATTTCTGGACCGAAAATCTCCATGCCAGATGTGGACTTCAATCTGAAAGGTCCAAACTCAAAGGTGACGTGGATGTATCATGTCCAAAGATTGAAGGAGACATAGAAGCACCTGAAGTTGACATCAAAGGACCACAGGTTGATATTGAAGGCTCCAAAGGTGGATTCGAGATGCCAAAAATCAAAATGCCAAAATTTGGCCTCAAAGGTTCAAAAGTGGAGGGTCCAGATGTTGATATAGACCTTCCCAAAGCAGACATTGATGTGAAAGCACCCAATATTGATATCAAAGGACCAAAACTTGACCTTGAAGGACCAGATGCCAAACTAAAAGGACACAAATTCAAAATGCCAACAATTTCTGGACCGAAAATCTCCATGCCAGATGTGGACTTCAATCTGAAAGGTCCCAAACTCAAAGGTGACGTGGATGTATCATGTCCAAAGATTGAAGGAGACATAGAAGCACCTGAAGTTGACATCAAAGGACCACAGGTTGATATTGAAGGCTCCAAAGGTGGATTCGAGATGCCAAAAATCAAAATGCCAAAATTTGGCCTCAAAGGTTCAAAAGTGGAGGGTCCAGATGTTGATATAGACCTTCCCAAAGCAGACATTGATGTGAAAGCACCCAATATTGATATCAAAGGACCAAAACTTGACCTTGAAGGACCAGATGCCAAACTAAAAGGACACAAATTCAAAATGCCAACAATTTCTGGACCGAAAATCTCCATGCCAGATGTGGACTTCAATCTGAAAGGTCCCAAACTCAAAGGTGACGTGGATGTATCATGTCCAAAGATTGAAGGAGACATAGAAGCACCTGATTTTGACATCAAAGGACCACAGGTTGATATTGAAGGTCCCAAAGGTGAATTCGAGATGCCAAAAATCAAAATGCCAAAATTTGGCCTCAAAGGTTCAAAAGTGGAGGGTCCAGATGTTGATATAGACCTTCCCAAAGCAGACATTGATGTGAAAGCACCCAATATTGATATCAAAGGACCAAAACTTGACCTTGAAGGACCAGATGCCAAACTAAAAGGACACAAATTCAAAATGCCAACAATTTCTGGACCGAAAATCTCCATGCCAGATATGGACTTCAATCTGAAAGGTCCCAAACTCAAAGGTGACGTGGATGTATCATGTCCAAAGATTGAAGGAGACATAGAAGCACCTGAAGTTGACATCAAAGGACCACAGGTTGATATTGAAGGCTCCAAAGGTGGATTCGAGATGCCAAAAATCAAAATGCCAAAATTTGGCCTCAAAGGTTCAAAAGTGGAGGGTCCAGATGTTGATATAGACCTTCCCAAAGCAGACATTGATGTGAAAGCACCCAATATTGATATCAAAGGACCAAAACTTGACCTTGAAGGACCAGATGCCAAACTAAAAGGACACAAATTCAAAATGCCAACAATTTCTGGACCGAAAATCTCCATGCCAGATGTGGACTTCAATCTGAAAGGTCCCAAACTCAAAGGTGAAGTGGATGTATCATGTCCAAAGATTGAAGGAGACATAGAAGCACCTGAAGTTGACATCAAAGGACCACAGGTTGATATTGAAGGTCCCAAAGGTGAATTCGAGATGCCAAAAATCAAAATGCCAAAATTTGGCCTCAAAGGTTCAAAAGTGGAGGGTCCAGATGTTGATATAGACCTTCCCAAAGCAGACATTGATGTGAAAGCACCCAATATTGACATCAAAGGGCCAGATTTTGACATTGAAGGACCAGATGCCAAACTAAAAGGACCCAAATTTAACATGCCAAAAATGTCTGGACCGACAATCTCCATGCCACATGTGGATTTCAATCTGAAAAGTCCAAAACTCAAAGGTGATATAGATCTGTCAGCTCCAAAGATAGAGGGAGACATAAAAACTCCTAAAGTTGACATCAAAGGTCCAGATGTTGACATTGACGTTGGCACAACTGGCATGAAGAAAACGAAGTTCAAAATGCCAAAATTTGGATTCAAGGGTTCTAAGATAAAGACCCCTGACAAAGAATTGAAAGTAGAAAAAGGGGAAATCAACATTAAAGGCAATACTACGAGCTCAGCGGATCTAGACCTTGACTTGGAACTGACCGGATCAAAAATAAAGGGATCGAAATTCAAAATGCCAAAATTTGGATTCAGAAGCCCAAAGGTTGAAGAACCAGAGATTGATGTGAGTATCCCAAAGACAGAAATAGATGTTAATGCCCCAGATATGGATATTAAAGCACCTGACATTGACATTGAGAGCCCAAGTGGCAAAATCAAAGGACACAAATTCAAAATGCCAACAATTTCTGGACCCAAACTGCACATGCCAGACGTGGACTTCAATCTGAAAAGTCCAAAACTCAAAGGTGATGTGGATGTGTCAGCTCCAAAGATAGAGGGAGACATAAATGCACCTGATTTTGACATCAAAGGACCACAGCTTGATATTGAAGGTTCCAAAGGTGGATTCGAGATGCCAAAATTCAAAATGCCATCATTTGGCTTCAGTGGTCCAAAAGTGGAATGTCCAGAGGTTGATATAAACCTTCCCAAAGCAGACATTGATGTGAAAGCACCCAATATTGACATCAAAGGGCCAGAGCTTGATATTGAAGGTCCCAAAGGTGCATTTGAGATGCCAAAAATCAAAATGCCATCATTTGGCCTCAAAGGTTCAAAAGTGGATTGTCCAGATGTTGATATAAACCTTCCCAAAGCAGACATTGATGTGAAAGCACCCAATATTGACATCAAAGGGCCAGATTTTGACATTGAAGGATCAGATGGCAAACTAAAAGGACACAAATTCAAAATGCCAAAGATTTCTGGTCCAAAAATATCTATGCCAGATATGGACCTCGATCTGAAAGGTCCAAAACTCAAAGGTGATGTAGATGTGTCAGCTCCAAAGATAGAGGGAGACATAAAAACACCGGATTTTGACATCAAAGGACCACAGGTTGATATTGAAGGTTCCAAAAGTGGATTTGAGATGCCAAAATTCAAAATGCCATCATTTGGCTTCAGTGGTCCAAAAGTGGAGTGTCCAGATGTTGATGTGAACCTTCCCAAAGCAGAAATTGACGTGAAAGCACCCGATCTTGACATCAAAGGACCAAAACTTGACCTTGAAGGACCAGATGCCAAACTTAAAGGACACAAATTCAAAATGCCAACAATTTCTGGACCCAAACTGCACATGCCAGACGTGGACTTCAATCTAAAAGGTCCCAAACTCAAAGGTGATGTGGATGTATCAGCTCCAAAGATTAAGGGAGACATAGAAGCCCCTGATTTTGACATCAAAGGACCACAGGTTGATATTGAAGGTTCCAAAGGTGGATTCGAGATGCCAAAATTCAAAATGCCATCATTTGGCTTCAGTGGTCCAAAAGTTGAATGTCCAGAGGTTGATATAAACCTTCCCAAAGCAGACATTGATGTGAAAGCACCCAATATTGACATCAAAGGGCCAGAGCTTGATATTGAAGGTCCCAAAGGTGCATTTGAGATGCCAAAAATCAAAATGCCATCATTTGGCCTCAAAGGTTCAAAAGTGGATTGTCCAGATGTTGATATAAACCTTCCCAAAGCAGACATTGATGTGAAAGCACCCAATATTGACATCAAAGGGCCAGATTTTGACATTGAAGGTTCAGATGGCAAACTTAAAGGACACAAATTCAAAATGCCAAAAATTTCTGGTCCAAAAATATCTATGCCAGATATGGACCTCGATCTGAAAGGTCCAAAACTCAAAGGTGATGTAGATGTGTCAGCTCCAAAGATAGAGGGAGACATAAAAGCACCAGATTTTGACATCAAAGGACCACAGGTTGATATTGAAGGTTCCAAAAGTGGATTTGAGATGCCAAAATTCAAAATGCCATCATTTGGCTTCGGTGGTCCAAAAGTGGCATGTCCAGATGTTGATGTGAACCTTCCCACAGCAGAAATTGACATGAAAGCACCCGATCTTGACATCAAAGGACCAAAACTTGACCTTGAAGGACCAGATGCCAAACTTAAAGGACACAAATTCAAAATGCCAACAATTTCTGGACCCAAACTGCACATGCCAGACGTGGACTTTAATCTAAAAGGTCCCAATCTCAAAGGTGATGTGGATGTGTCAGCTCCAAAGATTAAGGGAGACATAGAAGCCCCTGATTTTGACATCAAAGGACCACAGCTTGATATTGAAGGTCCCAAAGGTGGATTCGAGATGCCAAAATTCAAAATGCCATCATTTGGCCACAAAGGTTCAAAAGTGGAATGTCCAGAGGTTGATATAAACCTTCCCAAAGCAGACATTGATGTGAAAGCACCCAATATTGACATCAAAGGGCCAGATTTTGACATTGAAGGACCAGATGCCAAACTAAAAGGACCCAAATTTAACCTGCCAAAAATTTCTGGTCCAAAAATATCTATGCCAGATATGGATTTCAATCTGAAAAGTCCAAAACTCAAAGGTGATTTAAATGTGTCAGCTCCGAAGATAGAGGGAGACATAAAAGCACCTGATTTTGACATCAAAGGACCACAGGTTGATATTGAAGGTTCCAAAAGTGGATTTGAGATGCCAAAATTCAAAATGCCATCATTTGGCTTCAGTGGTCCAAAAGTGGCATGTCCAGATGTTGATGTGAACCTTCCCAAAGCAGAAATTGACGTGAAAGCACCCGATCTTGACATCAAAGGACCAAAACTTGACCTTGAAGGACCAGATGCCAAACTTAAAGGACACAAATTCAAAATGCCAACAATTTCTGGACCCAAACTGCACATGCCAGACGTGGACTTCAACCTGAAAAGTCCAAAACTCAAAGGTGATGTGGATGTGTCAGCTCCAAAGATAGAGGGAGACATAAATGCACCTGATTTTGACATCAAAGGACCACAGCTTGATATTGAAGGTTCCAAAGGTGGATTCGAGATGCCAAAATTCAAAATGCCATCATTTGGCTTCAGTGGTCCAAAAGTGGAATGTCCAGAGGTTGATATAAACCTTCCCAAAGCAGACATTGATGTGAAAGCACCCAATATTGACATCAAAGGGCCAGAGCTTGATATTGAAGGTCCCAAAGGTGCATTTGAGATGCCAAAAATCAAAATGCCATCATTTGGCCTCAAAGGTTCAAAAGTGGATTGTCCAGATGTTGATATAAACCTTCCCAAAGCAGACATTGATGTGAAAGCACCCAATATTGACATCAAAGGGCCAGATTTTGACATTGAAGGACCAGATGCCAAACTAAAAGGACCCAAATTTAACCTGCCAAAAATTTCTGCACCAAAAATATCTATGCCAGATATGGATTTCAATCTGAAAAGTCCAAAACTCAAAGGTGATTTAAATGTGTCAGCTCCAAAGATAGAGGGAGACATAAAAGCACCTGATTTTGACATCAAAGGACCACAGGTTGATATTGAAGGTTCCAAAAGTGGATTTGAGATGCCAAAATTCAAAATGCCATCATTTGGCTTCGGTGGTCCAAAAGTGGCATGTCCAGATGTTGATGTGAACCTTCCCAAAGCAGAAATTGACGTGAAAGCACCCGATCTTGACATCAAAGGACCAAAACTTGACCTTGAAGGACCAGATGCCAAACTTAAAGGACACACATTCAAAATGCCAACAATTTCTGGACCCAAACTGCACATGCCAGACGTGGACTTCAATCTAAAAGGTCCCAAACTCAAAGGTGACGTGGATGTGTCAGCTCCAAAGATTAAGGGAGACATAGAAGCCCCTGATTTTGACATCAAAGGACCACAGCTTGATATTGAAGGTCCCAAAGGTGGATTCGAGATGCCAAAATTCAAAATGCCATCATTTGGCTTCGGTGGTCCAAAAGTGGCATGTCCAGAGGTTGATATAAACCTTCCCAAAGCAGACATTGATGTGAAAGCACCCAATATTGACATCAAAGGGCCAGAGCTTGATATTGAAGGACCAGATGCAAAACTAAAAGGACACAAATTCAAAATGCCATCATTTGGCCTCAAAGGTTCAAAAGTGGAGTGTCCAGATGTTGATATAAATCTTCCCAAAGCAGACATTGATGTGAAAAGACCCGATATCGACATTCAAGGGCCAGATTTTGATATTGAAGGACCAGATGCCAAACTAAAAGGACACAAATTCAAAATGCCAACAATTTCTGGACCCAAACTGCACATGCCAGACGTGGACTTCAATCTAAAAGGTCCCAAACTCAAAGGTGACGTGGATGTATCAGCTCCAAAGATTAAGGGAGACATAGAAGCCCCTGATTTTGACATCAAAGGACCACAGCTTGATATTGAAGGTCCCAAAGGTGGATTCGAGATGCCAAAAATCAAAATGCCATCATTTGGCCTCAAAGGTTCAAAAGTGGATTGTCCAGATGTTGATATAAACCTTCCCAAAGCAGACATTGATGTGAAAGCACCCAATATTGACATCAAAGGGCCAGATTTTGACATTGAAGGACCAGATGCCAAACTAAAAGGACCCAAATTTAACATGCCAAAAATTTCTGCACCAAAAATATCTATGCCAGATATGGATTTCAATCTGAAAAGTCCAAAACTCAAAGGTGATTTAAATGTGTCCGCTCCAAAGATAGAGGGAGACATAAAAGCACCTGATTTTGACATCAAAGGACCACAGGTTGATATTGAAGGTTCCAAAAGTGGATTTGAGATGCCAAAATTCAAAATGCCATCATTTGGCTTCGGTGGTCCAAAAGTGGCATGTCCAGATGTTGATGTGAACCTTCCCAAAGCAGAAATTGACGTGAAAGCACCCGATCTTGACATCAAAGGACCAAAACTTGACCTTGAAGGACCAGATGCCAAACTTAAAGGACACAAATTCAAAATGCCAACAATTTCTGGACCCAAACTGCACATGCCAGACGTGGACTTCAATCTAAAAGGTCCCAAACTCAAAGGTGACGTGGATGTATCAGCTCCAAAGATTAAGGGAGACATAGAAGCCCCTGATTTTGACATCAAAGGACCACAGCTTGATATTGAAGGTTCCAAAGGTGGATTCGAGATGCCAAAATTCAAAATGCCATCATTTGGCCTCAAAGGTTCAAAAGTGGATTGTCCAGAGGTTGATATAAACCTTCCCAAAGCAGACATTGATGTGAAAGCACCCAATATTGACATCAAAGGGCCAGATTTTGACATTGAAGGACCAGATGCCAAACTAAAAGGACACAAATTCAAAATGCCATCATTTGGCCTCAAAGGTTCAAAAGTGGAATGTCCAGATGTTGATATAAACCTTCCCAAAGCAGACATTGATGTGAAAGCACCCAATATTGACATCAAAGGGCCAGATTTTGACATTGAAGGACCAGATGCCAAACTAAAAGGACCCAAATTTAACCTGCCAAAAATTTCTGGTCCAAAAATATCTATGCCAGATATGGATTTCAATCTGAAAAGTCCAAAACTCAAAGGTGATTTAAATATGTCAGCTCCGAAGATAGAGGGAGACATAAAAGCACCTGATTTTGACATCAAAGGACCACAGGTTGATATTGAAGGTTCCAAAAGTGGATTTGAGATGCCAAAATTCAAAATGCCATCATTTGGCTTCAGTGGTCCAAAAGTGGCATGTCCAGATGTTGATGTGAACCTTCCCAAAGCAGAAATTGACGTGAAAGCACCCGATCTTGACATCAAAGGACCAAAACTTGACCTTGAAGGACCAGATGCCAAACTTAAAGGACACAAATTCAAAATGCCAACAATTTCTGGACCCAAACTGCACATGCCAGACGTGGACTTCAATCTGAAAAGTCCAAAACTCAAAGGTGATGTGGATGTGTCAGCTCCAAAGATAGAGGGAGACATAAATGCACCTGATTTTGACATCAAAGGACCACAGCTTGATATTGAAGGTTCCAAAGGTGGATTCGAGATGCCGAAATTCAAAATGCCATCATTTGGCTTCAGTGGTCCAAAAGTGGAATGTCCAGAGGTTGATATAAACCTTCCCAAAGCAGACATTGATGTGAAAGCACCCAATATTGACATCAAAGGGCCAGAGCTTGATATTGAAGGTCCCAAAGGTGCATTTGAGATGCCAAAAATCAAAATGCCATCATTTGGCCTCAAAGGTTCAAAAGTGGATTGTCCAGAGGTTGATATAAACCTTCCCAAAGCAGACATTGATGTGAAAGCACCCAATATTGACATCAAAGGGCCAGATTTTGACATTGAAGGACCAGATGCCAAACTAAAAGGACCCAAATTTAACATGCCAAAAATTTCTGCACCAAAAATATCTATGCCAGATATGGATTTCAATCTGAAAAGTCCAAAACTCAAAGGTGATTTAAATGTGTCAGCTCCAAAGATAGAGGGAGACATAAAAGCACCTGATTTTGACATCAAAGGACCACAGGTTGATATTGAAGGTTCCAAAAGTGGATTTGAGATGCCAAAATTCAAAATGCCATCATTTGGCTTCGGTGGTCCAAAAGTGGCATGTCCAGATGTTGATGTGAACCTTCCCAAAGCAGAAATTGACGTGAAAGCACCCGATCTTGACATCAAAGGACCAAAACTTGACCTTGAAGGACCAGATGCCAAACTTAAAGGACACACATTCAAAATGCCAACAATTTCTGGACCCAAACTGCACATGCCAGACGTGGACTTCAATCTAAAAGGTCCCAAACTCAAAGGTGACGTGGATGTGTCAGCTCCAAAGATTAAGGGAGACATAGAAGCCCCTGATTTTGACATCAAAGGACCACAGCTTGATATTGAAGGTCCCAAAGGTGGATTCGAGATGCCAAAATTCAAAATGCCATCATTTGGCTTCGGTGGTCCAAAAGTGGCATGTCCAGAGGTTGATATAAACCTTCCCAAAGCAGACATTGATGTGAAAGCACCCAATATTGACATCAAAGGGCCAGAGCTTGATATTGAAGGACCAGATGCAAAACTAAAAGGACACAAATTCAAAATGCCATCATTTGGCCTCAAAGGTTCAAAAGTGGAGTGTCCAGATGTTGATATAAATCTTCCCAAAGCAGACATTGATGTGAAAAGACCCGATATCGACATTCAAGGGCCAGATTTTGATATTGAAGGACCAGATGCCAAACTAAAAGGACACAAATTCAAAATGCCAACAATTTCTGGACCCAAACTGCACATGCCAGACGTGGACTTCAATCTAAAAGGTCCCAAACTCAAAGGTGACGTGGATGTATCAGCTCCAAAGATTAAGGGAGACATAGAAGCCCCTGATTTTGACATCAAAGGACCACAGCTTGATATTGAAGGTCCCAAAGGTGGATTCGAGATGCCAAAAATCAAAATGCCATCATTTGGCCTCAAAGGTTCAAAAGTGGATTGTCCAGATGTTGATATAAACCTTCCCAAAGCAGACATTGATGTGAAAGCACCCAATATTGATATCAAAGGGCCAGATTTTGACATTGAAGGACCAGATGCCAAACTAAAAGGACCCAAATTTAACCTGCCAAAAATTTCTGCACCAAAAATATCTATGCCAGATATGGATTTCAATCTGAAAAGTCCAAAACTCAAAGGTGATTTAAATGTGTCCGCTCCAAAGATAGAGGGAGACATAAAAGCACCTGATTTTGACATCAAAGGACCACAGGTTGATATTGAAGGTTCCAAAAGTGGATTTGAGATGCCAAAATTCAAAATGCCATCATTTGGCTTCAGTGGTCCAAAAGTGGCATGTCCAGATGTTGATGTGAACCTTCCCAAAGCAGAAATTGACGTGAAAGCACCTGATCTTGATATCAAAGGACCAAAACTTGACCTTGAAGGACCAGATGCCAAACTTAAAGGACACACATTCAAAATGCCAACAATTTCTGGACCCAAACTGCACATGCCAGATGTGGACTTCAATCTAAAAGGTCCCAAACTCAAAGGTGATGTGGATGTGTCAGCTCCAAAGATTAAGGGAGACATAGAAGCCCCTGATTTTGACATCAAAGGACCACAGCTTGATATTGAAGGTCCCAAAGGTGCATTTGAGATGCCAAAAATCAAAATGCCATCATTTGGCTTCAAAGGTTCAAAAGTGGAATGTCCAGATGTTGATATAAACCTTCCCAAAGCAGACATTGATGTGAAAGCACCCAATATTGACATCAAAGGGCCAGATTTTGACATTGAAGGACCAGATGCCAAACTAAAAGGACCCAAATTTAACATGCCAAAAATTTCTGCACCAAAAATATCTATGCCAGATATGGATTTCAATCTGAAAAGTCCAAAACTCAAAGGTGATTTAAATGTGTCAGCTCCAAAGATAGAGGGAGACATAAAAGCACCTGATTTTGACATCAAAGGGCCAGATTTTGAGATTGAAGGACCAGATGCCAAAGTAAAAGGACCCAAATTCAAAATGCCAACAATTTCTGGACCGAAAGTGTCCATGCCAGACGTGGATTTCAATCGGAAAGGTCCTAAACTTAAAGGCGATGTGGATTTGTCAACTCCTTACATGCAAGGCGAACTAAAAGGACCAGACTTGCCTAAATTGGAGGGAGACATCAAAATTTCAAATGCCAAAATAGCAGTTCCCACCATAGCCACGGGGGGTGTGGCTATTGATCCTGTAAAAACAGGTGTTTCATTTCCTAAGTTCAAAGGACCAAAGTTTGGAATGAAAGCCCCTGATGTTGAGGGGCCTGAATCAACTGTTAATACACCAACGCTCAATGTAGGTGGAAAAGGTTCCAATACAGACTTTAGTCTCCCACATACTGAGGCAAGTCTTGATGCCCCTGACATTAATATACATGTGAAGGGGAAGAAGGGCAAATTTAAACTCCCTAAAGTTAAAGTAAAGGGGAAGAAACCTGAAGTTGATGTAGGACCACCAGGAGTAGACTTGGATCTAGATGCACCAAGTATCAATGTCAAAGGAAAAAAGGGAAAGAAGCCTCTTTTTGGTAAGCTTCATTTCCCTGATGTGGAATTAGATATCAAATCGTCCAAATTGAAAGGCGATGGATCTTTTGCTGGGGGACTGAAATCACCTGACATAGATTTACCATCTTCAAGCTTCAACACTGCCATTGAGTCTTCTGGTTCAAGCATTAAACTGGAAAGGCCAGATGTAAATCTCAAGACTCCTAAAATCAAAATTTCAAATCCAAACTTATCTGCTCCTGATATTGATGCAGATCTAAATAGACATGGAGAGGCAAAAATGTTTACAAGTTCTAAAGGCCAACATTTTTATGTGAAAGGTGGTGCAGAGTTTGACTCTAATGTTGCTGGTGGCCTTCATTTCCCAGAAGGTACTGTAACATTTCCCAAAATGAAGTTACCAAAATTTGGTATTGCTCTGCCTCAGTTGGAAGGGCCTCAAGGTGGTGGCAATTTTGAATCAGATCTTGGAGCTAGTGGAAGCATAAACATACAGTCTCCATCTGTTATCCAAGTCAGTTCACAGAATATTGAGGTTCCCAGTCCAGAACTTAGGCACAGTGAAGGCAAAATAAAGGTAAAGATGCCAAAGTTTTTTGGCAAATCAAAAGGAAAGGGCAGTAGTGTGGGTGACCTTCGGGGTCCAGAGGTAGACTTAAGTACAAGTGGGAAAGGCGGCAAGGTCTCTAAAGACCCAAGTGCATTGGAGGGTGATACTGGGCTTAGTATGTCAACAAAAGGCAAATCAGCCTCACTGGATCTATTTAAGAAATCAAGGCACCGATCTTCTTCTCTGAGTGATGAGGGAGGGCTTGAAGTTAATTCTCCCTCTGCTCACTTAGAGGCCGAGGGAGGTGACATTTCATTAGACCTAGGAGGAAGCAAGGTCAAAGGAAAGAAAGGCAAGTTGAAGTTTGGCACCTTTGGAGGTTTTGGTTCAAAGTCAAAAGGCTCATATGAAGTGTCACTTGGTGAGGACACTGGAGCAGGACTGGAGGGAAGTGCAGGTGTTTCTCTACCTACTAAGAAAACAAGATTGTCCTCATCTTCGAGCAGTGACAGTGGTTCAAGAGGTGGTTTCAGGTTCCCAAGGCTTGAATTATCTGTTTCACCAAAAAAATGAATAACTCTGAGGAAAAATACAATTTCGTACCCCCAAATACCCTCTCCTAACATAGCTCTTCACATCAGTCCTTAAAAACCTAAGGAGACATACCCAGTCATTATTGTTGTTAAACGTGTACGTCCTTTTTCAGTTAAAGACTGGAGTGCATGAGATCATTTAAAATCCCTCTAAACTGTAAATAAGATTAATTTGTTTTGTAATAATAGATATTTGTACATAGTCCAGATTTAATAAATATATATGCAATCTCACCAATATTTCATCCATAGTTGAATACAGGGTTAGTCTTTTTTTTTCCTATTTCATTCTATGAGATGACTATTTTGAATTAATCGGTGTGGTTTATTTGTATCCAGGGGTCAATGCACAGAACAGTGAGACTAGTTATTTTTGAAGGAAAATGTTGTCCATACACCCTGACACATGCATAAGCAGTTACTGTTTTTATTGTATGACATGTGTTTATTTTCATGCTTTGATACCATATAATCAGTGCAGAATCCCATTTCAACTTTGAGCTGGCCTGCAACAATTGCAAAGACAATCACTGTTTTGAAACTATCATCCCTCTGAAGTGCTGTCCGTAGTTTTCTTTTCATTTAAGAATTTTTTACCCGTACATTTTTCTGCAATTTATCAAAATATGATTTTTCTTTTTCTTTTTATTCATTTTGTTTCATAACCCTGTCATTGAAATGCTTCACTCTTTCACAATCATCCATATTGTTACCCTAATTTTCTGTCACTCTGCCTTTGTACAGATGCTTTTTGATAATGCAAACAATGTAATACAAACAATGTAACAAATAAACACTCACTTTTTGATGTCAATTGTTATGTACAAAATATATGTTGATAAATATTTGATGGAAATAGGGTATGATTTTTGGGGTCTATTCTTTTGAGTACATTCTTCCAAATAAATATAATAAAATGATTTTTAGAATTACAAGGTTCTTAAGTAGTTATTACTGGTGCCGTAGTCACATTACTTGATATGATGATTATATAGTTTTGTCCATCTATTAATCCATATTAAACACTGGATAGGCACACATAAAATATATATATATATATATATATATATATATATATATATATATATAAAAAAAACTTTTAGTTACACAAAACATTATTTATAAGCTTTTATTCACAAATTTTTAACTCAATTAAAAACTGCAGCAAGTAGGTTTTTTTCTCATCCTGATGGTGGTTGCCTTGACTTGTTTGACGAAATTTAATTAATTTAGTCTTCGTTTTGTTTTTGAAGCTGGATGTTACAAATGTGGGGTTAGCTGAGGAAATCATGTATATGTGTCAAGACAAGGAAACTACATTTTTAAAAAACCTATTCCACCGTTTGGTACTTATATGTCTTTTTTATATGCCAAAGTTGCCTTCAAGTAAATAACGTTAACATCAGGCAAAGAGATTTTCTTCTCCCGCTTTAATTTCTGTAATAGGTAGGCAACAACCAAAGTACGGTCAAAAGGACTTTTTAAAATGCATTTTTGATAATAATGTGATCAACTCCTTTAATTTCTAATTTGGTCCTTGCTTGTATGAGATAGGAAGGCTGAAGAGAAACCGTAAAAAATATGAAAAGAAGCTGAAGATGAAATGCAACAAATTGCCACAGACAAGTCGAGCAAGTGGCCAGTGCCCTGGGGACTTTTCTTTGGTATTTGGTGACCCTGATTTACCAATCTGGCTGAACCAGTTCCTAAACCTCCTAGATTTATACTTTCCAAACAGCCAACACAGACACATACATTTTTATTTTATGTTTTTGAGCAAAAAGCAGCCCCTCAATGTTAAAAAATTATGGCTAGTGGAGGTAATTTACAGTATGCTGTTTCCCCCATCACTACATTAACACGTTTCATTCCAAAAGAAAATATTCTCTTCTTCATTGAATATGTATAAATAATTTGTATATTTTGCAGAGCTAAACATCCTTACCTGATGCATTCAAGTGGACTAAATATAACTTCTAAATCTATAAAAATGTGGTAACGAGGTTCAAGGCTATCTGTCAAACATTAACTCTGCTGATATTCCTCATTATAAAGGAGATTACAGTTTTTATGTGAACGTATCTGCAAACAGTTGCTTATTATAAAATTATTTCATAATTTTGTTAATTTATTTCATTTTGGCATAGAAAGGGTCAAGGAAATGATAATTGTAGCGGCATTTGTGCAAAGGGATTTTGTAGTGGAAGGGGAAATCCATATGCAAAGATGTAATTTCAACTGATTTAATTTTCACTTTTAAAAAGAGTGTTTTAAACATCCTCCACTGAAGACAGAAAAAGAAAAAGGAAGAAAAAAGCTTAAAGGTATAGGCCACAAGCTGTAAAGCTCTGACTAGACTGCTGGGTGCTGACGTAGTCATTTGATACCTGACAGGAGCTGGTATTAGAAAGTAATGTGGTAGCTGGTGGTGGATAGCACTGCACTTCCATGCAGGTATTGAGCGCTTGAAACCAGGTACACTCCTTGGTGCATTTTATTTCTGTTGGTGACTGTCATGCACTGACTGGCCACTTATACATTTATTTTAGCTGCTATAAATAAGAGATGCATCTTGAAAATCTCCTTGTGTAAATGTGTATTTATTCTTTTGACAGAAGCAGATTTCCTGGTTATTTTGGTCTGAATACAGCCGTTGGATCCATGTCTTTAGTGAACAAATGTGAACTTTTGAACCAGCCTTGTCAACAGTTACCATAGATGTCTTTAAACATCTTTTCAACAGAAAATTGCTCATTTGGATGTTATATATATTCATGAAAGGTAACCCACAATTAGTGTACATGGTAGACCGGGTGTGAATAATGTCATGGTTATTAAAGTGAAATGCTTTATTTTAAACCACACCATGCCCCATGTTATCCTTCTGACCAGATTTTACCATTATATAATTGTCAATCTTTGTGATTTACGATATACTCACAATTGCAAGAGGTTATTTTAGGGAAAAGACAAATAGTAGTTATGTAATGTGATCTAACAATCACATGGTTCTTTTTCTGTTTATTGGCTGTTGAAAAAGCATTCTCAGCTCTTTGCTCTAGTTTGATATAAATATGGTATTGTTGATTTTTTTTAAAGGAGCATATTCCCAAAGTAAAAAAAATCTTTAAAAGCCCTTAAACATGCCTGACCCTTGCAACTATATTTAATTGACAAAACAGTTTATTGTAAAAAGGTTTTCTAAAAGAACATATCAAATATGCCACCTAGTGGTTGAAACAAATAATACCACAACTTTCAAAAGATAATCAATTTTCACATACTTGCTCCTTTTTATTTTTTTCCAGACAGAGACTTATACAAAGCTGTATACCAGTAATTACCTGCTGTTCTAAAGCTTTGGTTGATATTCATCAGTCTTAATAAAGAACAATCAAACACACAGAAAATGCTAGCTTCAGTTATGATCAAACCTATAAACACAAAAGTGTTACCGAAACGTGGTTTGTAAGGTTAGTCTTTTTATTCCTTTTTAAAAACAGTGTTTTGGCCTCATCACAGGATGTTATCCCTATGTTTCTGGTTGAATGCAATTGTTGTTGTAGTGCAGAGGAAGGAACTTATCAGGAGTTTCCTTTCAAAGAGGAAAGTGCCCCCTTCCTTTCTAGAGAGGCTAACATTTTTTTGTGCTGCAAGAGGAGGACACAGGAGAAGAAAAAGTTAGAGCTGTCCTGCACAGTTGGGATGTGTTAGTTTTTGGATTACCTACTCGTCTTCATTGCTCATCTGTTTCAGAAGATAATCATACCCGTTGAATACTGAGGAGTAACATAGAATCAATTGCTCAGGTAAGAAGATCATTTAGTTACATATAGAATGACATTTTAAATTCACAAGCTACATCACTCACATCAGTTCCTTCGAAAAAAGTCCTATTATTTCTTACGATGCATTTTGGTTAAGTAATGTCCTTTGTGATGTTGAGGCATGCCTAAAATTATTTAATCTATTGATTCTAGAGGTTACCACACATATAACAATTACTGTAATATTCTCATAAACTTTTAACTGGTCACTCCTGCCCTCCATGTTGACTGAAATGCTGCATTTCCTCTTGATGCCCTGGCAATGGATGTATCAGGTCAAGGAATTATAAGCAAAGAGTAAGACATTCTTACATTCAAGCATAGTTTTGTATACTGTTAATCACTATTTCTGTGTGCTTTGTTTTACTGTATATGCTGTGTAAGTATAGGTAAACATGTTAGCACATATTGTGCTGAGATTTAGTGCTTAGCCATGTCGCCTGTTTAGTCTCATGACTATGGAAAATGGTCAATGACATTGAAAAAAAAAAGCACAACACAGCACAAGAAATGACATGCAAACTTGTTCCTTCAGCATATACAGCAGTTGATATTTGCCAGGATCTTGCGAGGGGGAAGGTGTCTCCATTCATGTTTGTATCAGGCTATTATCAAGAATACTCCATAGTATGAGCACATAAATATGATGATAAATGAAACAGATATACACAATCCTAGCAAAGCATGCATTTTGTTGCTTCTCCCCTTTTGTTAGTCAAATAATTTAAAGACTGCAAAAGACATTTAAGGTATTTTACTCACAACTGGTGTACAGTTCTGGTGCAAGGGGAAAATATCTACCTGTTCTGCACATTTAAAGAATAGCCGTCTTGGCATGTAGGTATATATGTTCACTCAGGAGGCACATGATAACATGGTTTACCTCGTCGGTCTGACATCTGACATCTCACGTGTCATGCGGCATGCAGCCAGATGGTGTCTTTGACTCCTGCAAGAATAAAAGAGGTCACCCAGTGTGATGGCTTGTTACTATACATTAGATCATATCTCACTTTAATGGGTCTATATTAATACACCAGCTCTTTGACAGTTACAAGATGTCCTCACAATAACACATTTAATAAATTCTCTTTTCTGGTAGATAATTAAGTATGGATACAATTGCATGCATTCAGACTAAACAAACATGTACAAGAGGGCATTTTTGGCATTAACACAATCAGTTGGAATATTAAAGTGTCACTGAGTTATGTTTGACTTTGTTTAGCTAAACATCTTCCTGCTTTGTCGATTATATTTAGTGGTTCCTTGCTGGGCTTAAAGATGTAGTAGCTGGCATAGAATATCTACAAAGCCAAGTGCTACTTTTAGTTTTTTAGGTCTTAAAATGCACCACAACATTGGGAATAAAATACAATTTTAAATATTAAAACTTTAAAAATTAGTTTGCAGACCAGCAGAATGAGGCCAGTCAACCTTCTCTGTTTTATTAGTGTAAACATAATGTATACTGCATTTTATTATGGTGTTTAATGAGACTGATTATAGCATCACATAGTAAACTATCATAAAAAATATGTACATACTCAAACTTCAGATCATAAATACAGCCAAAGGTCTTGTTGTGTTAAATTTATGGACACCATTAATGGAGCCATGGCATTAAAGATTATCACTATCCTTACCATGAAGCAGTAAATGTCATAAGGTGAAGGTCTTGGATACAGGAAACCAACATGGCCTTCACTACAAACAAAGGAAACACTGCAGTCAGCAACAAAATGGGTGCTCTGGTGGATAATCGTGTATTAACCATTTTAATTATGATCCCCAGCAGGACCCAGTTGCTCTGTGCTGCACCTTTTTGACCCAAAAATCTGAAATCTAAAATATTCTTTTTACACACGTGATTGAATTAATTATTCAGTGTTTTACATCTTGACTGTGAAAAATGTTGCCAAAACTCATCCAAGTCTTATTAAATCTTCAGCATAAACACTTTTTAAAATTATTTCTACCCTATAGAAAGGAGGTCAGAAAGGTACCTGAATATTTAATAATATTTTTTTAGTTGATCTAAGTGTGGGAGAATCCTTGTCTATGTAGTAGTTATTAGGGATGGGAATCACCAGAGTCCCCGCGACACAATATTATCACGATACTCGAGACACGATGCGATTCTATTGCGATTTTAAACATTTTGCGATATGTGGAGAATTGCGATACAATATAATGCGATTAAGCTTTTTAACTGCATATTATGTCCCCTTCACTAAACTAAATCAAGAACTGTTTAGTCAAATAAGAAAAAGTTCTCAGTCTATTCATTTCACTTCAGTCTTTTTATTCCTACACAATGTGAGTCAAGCTCACAAACTGACCAACACTGTGATCTAAGTAAAATCCTGTAAAAGGCTGCATGCAGCATAAAATCTGAACTGTTAGTGTTTGTTAGGTGGGGGTTGTTTCAATGATGAAATTGTGAAACTGTGGATCATCTCAGATTTATTCAACCATGGTCAGACAACACAGAAACACAACACACATGGCTGACAAAGTGCAGACCATCGCTGACCCATGCTGACCAAGATCTCACAATCATTGGCAAAGTGGCCATCATGGACAAAGTGGCAGAATGGCAAAATCTTCATCTTCACCAGTGTTGCTTATATTCTGCTAGAAGGTACAGCCCACAAATTCCTGGCTGCTTCGGTTCATCTCTAAAAGGCTAGAAAGAAGACATCACCATCATATCAGACATATACATTTCTTCAGTCTCAGAGTCACATTTCCTTTTCAGCTCACAACAGACACTTGGATCCAAACCAAATATAACTCTGCTGCTTATGAGGTCTTTTACACATATGTATTACAGCTTCACAAACCTAAAATAAGAATTATCCTTAGATGGTTGACACAATTTAAAGATATATCCACAAAATTATCAAGATGAATGAATTCATGAAAGTACGTACTAACAGTATTTCAGTCTAATCCAACTTTAACATGAATTCTTAACAATGCAACTTGTTCAAAATGAAATGTGCAACCCCTTCAGCAGTTAAAAATAAAAAAAATCTAAAATATCATATTAAAAATAATGATACTTGGCTGCCATGAGACGATATAATATCGGCACACAACTATCGCAATACTATGCTGTATTGATTTTTTCTCCCACCTCTAGTAGTTATAATTTTTGTCTCCTTTGTGATGTTGTTTGGCATGTGTAAAGAACACAAAACATGATGGGAAAGCGATACCTTTTTTGAAGGAAGGATCAGTAGCTGGATTCATTATTAAAAAATATTTGTGTTAGTGAAGGCCATTTAAACATATGTTATACATCTGATCTGTTTTCTAAAAAACATGTTATTTAATTCATGTTCTCATTACATAAAATAGATATAGACATAGACATAGTCATGGTTTAAATAGATACTTGTTAAATATCAGCTGGCTGCATCCTCTAAACCTGTACTGAGAGGTGGTGGAGGCGGATAAGAGATTAAAATCCAGCCGTTTGAGTGCAAGGTTCTTCTCTCATCTTATACTGGAATCTAATATTAGGAATGGGGAACAGAGAGATCTGTTTAATAGGGATACAAGTTAAGCTCACACAAATACTGTTATATTAGTTGTGAAAAATCATCAAAAACCACAGTACCAGAGGATTGTGAACAGAATATAACTGCAAACTATTATTGTGGCATAGAGATGTCTTTCAGCCAGTGGTGTGCACATGTCAATATGTTTAAAAATCAGGAATCTATAGGGGTTTACAAAATGTTTTGAACAGAAGATTTCTCCATGTCTCTTTTATAGAAAAGTCCACTTCAGGGTTTATCAAAGACCAGGGTTTTCCAAGAAAAGTTCCTACATTACATCAGTTACTAAAACCTTATTAGAGATTCAAATTATGCCCAGTGTGTTGTAATAGCCTAAATAAATATTTGATTTGATATTAACATAGGCATAGACCTAGTCTTACAATGAAATTAGACTGACACGCTTTGGATTTTTACCAACAACCATAGAAATTAAACAAATTCTAAGACTAAGCAGTCTAATCTTTGCACAGTGTGGAAAGTATGAATTAACACATTATGCAGAGAACCTGAAATTATGGGAGAATAAGGCCTATCTCAAAATAGAAATAAATAAAGTAAATAAATTAGACTTTAGCTTACTGGTGTCACAACAACAGACGAGCAAAACAAACATTTTCATTTCAGGTCTGTAAACAACAGTAACTGACAAAGAGTCCTTACCTTTTCTCATGTTTGTTTATGGATACTCAGCTGTTTTCCCATTGTGTGTTGGTTTACCGCGGAGTCGCAGACGGGTGATTGGCTGTACCAAGAACGAGATGCTCGCCGGTGTTACGGCTGAACATTCTCCGCTTATCGACCCGAGGCAGTGTTACCATGATTGATTATAGCCGGAATGATGGTAGTCACATCCTCATTACCATTACCGTATGTATTTAACCGTCTTAATAATTGTTTTTTCACTTTTACTTTGTTACTATTTGGCTAGCTGGCTAATGTTAACTGAACATCTATTTACACCAATGAGAGCAAATTTACACTTATCTCCTACCTGCTTTTTTGTGTGGTAATTTGCTGTTAGAACCAATAGATATCGACTTGTTTTCCAACCATTTCACTATGTTTCCAACTTGGCTAGTGTGGACTACCTGTATTTTCTAATCCATATTTAATAGGCTACTTAAAATATACACCATACTGGAGTTTTAGGCCTGGCGACGGGTCAAATGAGGCCAGATGTGCTGCTAGGCTTGTGATGCACTTGCGGTAAAAAGCTTTAGAGTCACACTGTTGTAAAATGCAGAGATTGTTTTTTTTGTGTGTAGATTCTGCAGATGAGTGCAGAAACAAACTCTGCACATAGACCTCATCATTGTGCACAGTAAATAAGCCATGATCAGCTCTTCTAACTAGTAGGTTATAGATGCTGGCTGCAAGGCTACAGTACATGCCCCAGCTATTTAGAATCACTTTCCTTAAACACCACCATGTGACCATTTTTACATGCAGGAGATGCTCTCAGAATTCATCAAATAACCCCAAACTACCTCGTAGGCTCTTCCACTGTCCCTTTGCCTTTGAAGTCTTGAGTGAAGTTATGGTGTCTCAATTACATGCAATGGCGCAGGATTAAGCTTATGCCAAAGCAAGATCTATTTCTGAAATTCAGAAGTGTGTTTTCTGAAGCCCTGACTTGGTTAAAACAGCTTACTGACCTTGAGGGTTCATCAGTATGTAGTTTTTCACTTGTGATCGCAGGGGGATTTCAAGACGGTGACTGAAGTGGAATATTTTTTTCTGCATGGCTACATATGCAGAGACATTCCCCCATGAGATTCTCTTTGATGACAGAATAGCAAACTGCACAGATGTGTGTTAGTGTGTGATACACTTTACTTACATTTAGAGATGTGTGTTAGGTATTTATGAGGGTTATTAATGTATCCGCTGTTCAGTTAATGGATTAGCATGCGATGCATCCACATACATGAATGTATTACGGGCTCATACTAATAGCTTTGATAGCACAGTGTACTTTGTAGTCTTTATCTTTCCCTCC